ACAGTCGTCCAGTGGCATTTGGAAACCAGGCAAGCAGCTCCCCGCCGCCCCGGGGGGGGAAAGCAGGGATAGGAGTCAGCGAGTGGGAGAGACACAGATTTATTATGTTTCCGGGAGCAGCGCCTTCACATCTGGCTTGGGATAAGGTCACCTCCCTCGCAGCCAGCGCAGAGACGGGCGGGATCTTTATTCAAAGCGACGGGAACAAGAAGCTGCAGCCAAGACCCCGGGGGCCCTGGTGACAGCGCGGGGCTCCACGTGTCACCGCAGCGAGGGCAGGCGGGAGGCCGGCGTTTGCCAGAGCCTCTTGCAAAACATCTTTCCAGCGACATGGTGGAGGGCCAGGGCACGGCCCAGGAGTCGGTACAGCCTCTCTGCTCCCACCGGGAAAGGGAGGGGACGAGACAAGAATAAATACAGCTTTCAAAGGCGAGCCCGCACCCGCTGCTGCGTGGCCTGGCGAAGGCATTTACAGGAGGAAATCTGTCAGCCAGAATCCAACGACCGAGTAGACATCTCCAGAAGGGGTTCAAGGCTGGCTGGTTCGCATCCTGATCTCCTCAACCAGGTTCTCCCTGCGAACGTTGACCTACACGGGGGGAGCACAAAGTTGCTTCAATACAGCACGAGCATCGTGATGTATCGTGACCTCCCCCGGTCCTAGAGGGTCTGTCCCCACCACGTTCGTGGCCCCGTGTCTCAGATCACTCTGTGGTGCTGTCACCAGTCCCCCAACGGGGATCAAGCAGGCTGCAGCACACACGGAGCTGAAGCTGGGAGAGCAAGCACCTGCCTGCAACCCTGCCGAGCCTTCTCCTGCCCAACGATCCCAACAGCAGTGCTCCTACCCCTCTCTCCTACTGGTTCCAAAGCCAAGACCAGTACACAGATCAGCACTGGTCCCACTCATTCCAAGAGGGCACCTCCAGGACCTTCAGCAATGGTCCTGTGCCCTGGATGGAAAGCCCACTGAATCACCCCTCCATGTTGCAGGCTCCTGAACTGAGGAATCGCTGGGAGTTCAAGGAGGCCACAAGATGGGAAACTCTCCAGAGCTGGAGACAACAGTACTCCATGGCTCCAGGAAAATGCACGGGGCAAGGAACTGGAACATGAGGTGTTACAGAAGTCCCTGGAGAGACCACTGCTTGCAAAGATCTAATGAGGAAGCCAATATATAAAATCCTGAGATCCCGGCTTGGTGGCAAACTGACACCAGGGCACGTGCTCCACAGCAAGTTAAGAGGGGCTGAGGACACTCGCCTCACCCAGTCTCCAAGAGTGCACCCCCAAGGCCACCACCATCAGCCCACAGGCTTCACCTCGAGTCTGCCAGCCGTGGCTTGTGCCCCTCTGCCTGCTGCGTGGGGAGCCTTCCCCTCGACGCACCGTCTGCGTAAGCAGCTTTGCTAAGCCTTGGAGGCTTCTCACATCAGGTGGACATGCCTTACTCCTCTGATCTCCCCTGTGGGCACTACACTCAACATGGGGGCCGGCAAAGCCACCGTGCCATGTACAACCCAAAGGCATCGCTGCAGAGCAGGGTACAGGCGGGTGTGGAGGGCTGGCCCGAGCTGGGAAGGGTCACATAGCCACCCCCCTCACGCCAAGCTACCACGGGCCTCACCTCCTCCCTGGTTGCCACGACCCGCAGCTTGACGACTCCATCCTTGAGCTCCTGCTCACCCACAATGGCAACAAGAGGGATGCCCGTGTCCTCGCAGTACTGCAGCTGATTCAGCAGCTTGGGGTTCTTCTTGTACAGCACTTCTGCCTGGAAGAGAACCAGAGCACACCACCATGATCAGCACTGGCCTGTTTCTCTGTACCTCCTCAACCAGGCATCGCTGGGCCAGTCTGCTAATTGCTGTCGGGTGGTGTGGGAGACGATGGGCTAATGGAGAAAGCTGGGCGTTACAGCTAACAAGTAATGCAAACACAGCTCAAAGGTACTCAAAGGACACTGCTTATCCTGGGAAAGCACCAGGTCATTCGCTCTAGTCCATGTCAGAGCCAGGCTGAGACCTGCGGTGTCCCTACATGGTCAGGAGCCCAACAGAGCACCCAGGCATTCTCCTTCCCTCAGCCATCGAGGGAGCCTGCCCGCCGCAGGCAGGGAGCAGGGCCCTGACACACAGCCTGCCTTCGGAAAACAGCCCAGGCTCCTCCCTGGCCCTGCTCTCCCCTCCTTGCAAGGCTCCACAGTTTTCCTTTTTGTTGGAAGCAGCATGGTATCCCTGCTGCCACACAGTGGGGGATGGAGTGTTGCTTGCTTTGGGAATCTGTCCCAAGAAAACAGACCCAGAGCAGCCCCTGCAGCATTAAAGGGCTAACAGAGTCCTGCTGCCCAGCCCTTCCTGGAGACCACCTCATTCAGGACACCAAGCAGAGGCAGGCTCCCCACCTTCTCCCTGATTCATTCTTCCCAAAGCAAAGCCAGATCTGCTCCATTCCTGGCACCGAGAGTGGACCAGGCAGCTCCTGGCTTTGCCATCACTTGGCCATACCTTGATTCCAGCATCCCACAGCTCAGAGATGAGTTTCAGGCGCTCTTCAAGGAGCTTCTTTTGGGCAGAGGCCACCAGCACCTGTGTCTCTGTTGTCCTGATCTTTTCCTCAGAGGCCTAGAGAGGGGAGAAGACTCAAAAGATGCCATGGACGTACAGAAATATCTGAGACCCCATGAGCAGGACGGGTCACCACCCCAGGCCCATCAATTTAGCAGTGAAGAGGATCAGGCTCAGTGGGATGAACACCATTGGGGAACAGCTTGGGGAAGAGTGGCTGGAAAACTGCCCAGCAGAAAAGGACCTGGGGGGGCTGGTCGACAGGCAGCTGAATATGAACCAGCAGGG